TTTTGAAGCTCACACAGCAGTTAGTAGCAGAAGTAGGAATGGAACCTGGGTCTCTTTTCTCTGTGCAATTCTCTTTAAACTATAGGAAGCTTAAACTTTTTTGAGACTCTGAGGAAAGCAAATGTCTTTTTCTCTAGACAACTGCATGTACATTGTAAATCTTGCATATAGTTTTGGGGATTTCAAACTCACTGAGATCTACGCATGAACACCAGGTAAAGTACTCTCTCTTTTACCTGCCGATTCATTTGTTTCACTGCACACACAGGAAACAGTGTCCCAGTACTTACATTTAGGCAAACTCATGGAGAGAGGCACTCGAAGCAGAAGCTCTAGGTCTGTCTTCCCTTCCTCCTTCCTTTCTGTTCTGTATTCCAAATCTTAATTAGACAGTAGGACTACATGTAGGTAAGTCTAAGACTCTTCCTACTACAAACCCTGATACCAGTCCCTCCGTCTTTGCTTTTTCTAGTCTTTGACATGTATATGTCACCCATAGAAAATCAGTTTTGTGTATTTTTTTAAAAAAATAAATGATATTTATAGTATGTATCATTTTGCAAGTGTTTTTTTCTTTTAATTCAACATTATGTCTTTTATTCAGGTACAAACAGATCTACTTCATTCTCATTTGCTATTTTATACTCCATATTTTGTTAATTCCATAGTTTATCAATCCACTATTGATGGATGCTTAGGATGTTTCCAGTTTTTCACTACAAAGAGTGCTGCAATATATATTTTTGTGCGTGCCTCCTTGACACATGTGCTCGTGTTTCTCAAGAGGAGAGAGAATGGGACTTACTAGTAATGTGATTTCAGCGTGGCTTTATCATTTTATACCAGCAAATTATGAAAGTCTGTAATTTCCCCAAAGCTCCACATTACTTGATGTTATCAAATCAAAACTTTTTTTTCAGTATGATGTATAAAATGATCTTAAGTAATTTGAGCTTTTTTAAAAAATTTTTTCATGTGTTTATTAGCCATTTCACATTTCTATTATGTTCAAGTCCTTTGTTGGGATTTCTTTTGGGCGTGTCTTTTTCTTATTTATGGGAATCCCTAACGTATTTTCGTGTGTATTCTTGATACCAGCCTCTCTGTTGTATACGTTTTAATCTTTCATTTAGATCTTTCTGATCCTGGTTTTGTTATTAACTAGCTCTGTAATTTTGGGGATATTGTTTGACATCTACAGAACCATTTTTCTCCATTACTAAGTGAGAATACACTACTTTGTAGTTATTTTGTTACTGTGAAATGCCAGTGAAAGAGCGTATGAGCTCTGTGATTTTGCAGTTCTTCATTTGATTTCTACCAGCCATTTCCTCATCTGTAAAATGGCTTTTTAGATTTATTCTGAAATGCCAGTGGAAAAGCATATGGAAGTGCTTTGGAAAGTAAAGAATAGCTTTAAATGTAAACCATTTTGTTTTTTCTTTGGCTTTATTATAACTCATCCCTAGGAGTTGGCTTTTGTGAAGCATCCCACATTTCCACAGATTGATTGAACTGAGGAGTGGGTGTTACAACATAGCACTTGTCTCTTTTTATTCTGCACTCTCTTGGGGGAGGAAAGAGGTACATAAGATATGCTCACATTGAATTTCATGTTCTTGGAATGCACTGGGTGAGATGGAGGTGGAGAACAGCAGTATCAAGAGAAACTCACTTCTTCACCACTCACAGTGCTTGCACCAAGGACTGACATAGTAGAATCTGGCTGCTTATAGAACCAAATGTCTAGAAGGTTTGAATTATCCTGCCTTTTGTTATTATTCTGGTCCGCTTCTCAATTAGAACTCAGGTTTCAGAGACAGCTGTTCTGTTCTACCACAGTTAGGAAGTATAAAGATATAGTCTCTTGTTCCTATTCCCTTTTGGCTGATGACTGCCCTATGCAAACAAATAATTTGATACTCGAATACCACCTTAGACCTAGAAAACCCTGTGCCCCTGCCCTATGTTCCATATTTTAAAGGGCCCTTCCTTTGGCCATGCCTATCCCCTTCTAGACTACTTTCCAAGTACTCAGGACCTAAGAATTACCTGATGAAATGTCCTGAACCTGCTTCTAAGGCCTGCAGAACCTCTTTCTAGTTCTTTCTCCCAAAGACAGATCAAGCTATTAGACCCCACCCCTGATGTCTGCTTTCCTAGGTTCTAGGGTGACTAAGGGCCACTGCTTGAGAGGGATGTTTTCAGAACCTAGGTGTACTAGCTTGACCTTCTGTGTATAAGGCCTCTTGAGGTGGTAAAAGAAAGGTAGATTGGGAGGCCAGGGTCTTCTATTTGTACTCTTGCCCAGTCCTGCAACTGTCAGGGGCAGGTCTGCCCAGAGGAGCCTCTCCATTCTGATTGCAAGGAGGTGGGATGGGCAAATTTCTTGAAGGGAGAGTCCCTGTGCCTCTCCTCTGTCTCTCTCATGGGTAGGCAGTGCTGCTGATGCTTTGTTACAAGGAAAAAGGATTCTGCTGACATGGTGTATTTTTATGAAAGAAGGCTAAGGGTTTCCTTATCTCTCCACACAAGGCGTATCTGCCTGCAAACAGGCTGTCTGCTTCTTAGGGATTCCTTCATCATTCTGTTTCCTTTCTGACTGTTTTAAGGCACAGTTTCATGAATTCCTTTCTATTCTCTAGAGCCAGAGGGAAAGTCATAATATATCAGGGTTCTTGTTGAAGAGCTTAAAATGGGCGCTGGCAGCTGGGTTGTGAGGAAAGGGAGCTTTCCAGGGACAAGTGACCTGCTTGTTCAGCCAATGAGAAGCAGGTTAGAGGAATGATATCACCAGACAGGCTTTATTGTCTGATCATCTCGTAAAAGCAGGATTGTGTCTGGCGACTTAACCCTTTTTTAGGTACTTCGGGTCTCACCCACTCCCTGGTATGTGACCTCCAGGTTTCTTTTTCCAGTTGTCTGCTATGAGACCACAGAAGTTAAAGATTGAAATTGGTGAAAATGTTTCAAGAGTTGTAAACCATCCTTTTAAAAATACAAATTATTAAAATTTAGAACCATAGAATGAGAATGCCAATGAAGATGTGTTACATCAGACTTTTACTGTGTAGACTTGGGAGAGAAAGGAGGTTAAAGAGAAAAAAGATTTAGCCTTTAGTCTATTTTAATCTATATGATGGGGTCTTACTAAGTACATATTTCCTGTTTTGGAGGAATTGAAATTGGTTTTGCAAATTTGGAAAATATCACTGATTCTGAGGCCAATTTCTAGTAACATAGTCGTAGAATTTGTTTATATTGTACTTTACTCTCCCTTCACTAAAATGGTAATCATTTTACTTCTTCATGCTTCCTTTTTGTTACTGGTAAAATGAGGGTGATGATCCTACCCTATCTTGTAGAGGAGTTAAATTAGAAAATAAACTAATTCATGTGATTCTAGATAGTGCTATACATGTATTATTAGGGCATTTATTTCTTAAGATTTCATGTTTATTCATTCATTTGTTCAGCAGACTTTTGCTTTTTTTTAAATTAAGTTTATTGGGGTAACATTGGTTAACACAGTTATATAATTTTCAGGTGTACATTATAATTTGACATCTATATATTCTTTGTGTGATTACCACCCAGAGTCCAGTTTCCTTCATCAGCAGGCTTTTTCAAATGCCTTCTTGATGCTAGGCACAGATACAGAGGTAAAAGATGTAATTCTTAACCCTTAAGGAATTTAAAACATTGTGAGGGAGACTGACAATAATAATAAAAATGTCTCATTTATTGTATTTACCCTATTATACGACCTATTATAAGCACCTTGACATGTATTATCTCATTTAATCTTATTACAACCCTATGAACTAGGTGCCATGTTTAGCTTCATATTACAGATAAAAAATCGAGGCACAGGGAGGCTAAGTGATTTGTCTAAGAAATGGGACTTGAATCCAGACAGTGTAGCTTTAGCATCTCTGCTCTAAATCTATACTGACCAATATAGTAGTCACTATATTGTGTACGGTTTTGGAGCAGTTGAAAAATGGTTGGTCCAAATTGAATTGGGCTGTGTGAAATACATACTAGATTTCAAAGACCTAGTATGAAAATGTAAAATACCCTCATGTTAAAACTACATGTTTCAGTGATCATATTTTAGATATGCTAAGTAAAATATATTAAAGTTAATTTCACTTTATTTTTGTGGCTACTAGAAAACTTAGAATTACATATGTGACTTGCATTTATTGCTTACATTACATTTCTTTTGGACCGTGCTAATCTAAGTCATTACAATGCAATAACAACAATAATAGTAGAAGATGACGTTTATAGAACATTTAACTGTGTGCCACATACTATGCTAATACCTTTACAAACACTATTTCAATTAAGCCTCATATTAACCCTGTTTATTACCCCCTTTTATAGAAGGGGAGAAGGTTTGAGAAAGTCCATGATTTGCCTGAGGTTAATCAACTAGTTATTGACGGACCCCAAATGTGAAACCTGTACTCAGGTTTTTGACACAGACAAACATATATGTTTGACTCAAAAACCTGTACTCAACCAGCATACTGTAATACTATTTCCAATTATATCTCAGGGCATTTTCTTTGTTTTTATTTTTATAAGGATATTTAATATTGCATACTTCTGTATTCGGTGTGTAGAAGTTCAATATAGAAATCTCTAGGTAATAAAATAGACACCCCAGAAGGAAATCTCTTTTACAGAGCCTTGGCCCTGAGTGAATACCGGCATAGTTGAGCCCTGTGATGAAGCAGTGAGTCAGCTTGTACTAATTGCATTTAATTTTTATTCCAGTAGTTCTTTCAGGTGACTGGGCAATGTATGTCCGAATCCTCTTTGTCAATAGAGAAGAGGATGAGGGGAAACACCATTTTCCTTAGTTATTTAGTTCTCTTGGCTGAGAACAAGAAAAATTACTTTCTGTTTCATTGTCCTATGAAATGCTGTTCGTGTTCAGGAAAGCAACAAAATGCTGTCTAATGACCCCTGACTTTTCTTTTTTCTAGAGCAAAGATTCAGGCGGATTAAAGGCGGCTATGATAGAGTTGGTGGAAAGGTTAAAGTTCAAGAGCTCAGACCCTAAAGTAAGTATTGTTTTGGAATTTCGAGGGTATTGGTACTCCAAGTATGGGTATCCCTCACTTTTTGAGAGTTCACTTTACATCACTTTGCTTTTACAAAAGACCTGCCTTAGTACCTGTTTTCACTAACTGAAAGAAATCCGAAGAAGATTTTCACTTTTATGAAGTAAAAAGAGCCTTCAGCCTTTGTTTTGCAGCGAGCTGTTATAGAGGCAGCACACACTCCTAGCAGCAAGAGTGGTCCCGCCAAGTTCCTTTCCCAAGAACTACACTCAGCATCAAGTCACCAAAGCTTTGAGCTGTGTCTGTGAGCATCTGTGCTTTATCTCTATTTATTTTGTGCATCCATTAGCAAGGTGTGTCCTAAGGTACCAGAAAAGCCTAAGAGAACTTCTAAAGGTGTTACACTTAGCGTAAAACTGGACATAATTAAACATATTTGGTATGATTTGGTAGGTTATTTTTTGGATCTGGAACACTCAGAAATTTTTCTATGTAAATTAACGGTAATTGCTTCTTCACTTTACACCATTTCAGCTTGTGAAAGTTTTCATAGAAGTAGGGGAACCTGTATTTCATTCTTCTTGAGCTGAGTTCGAGGGATGTTAACGATCATCTATCTGAACACCGCATCAAGATCTAATTACGCCTACTCATCAAAAGCAGTGTTCTAATATGCCTAGAGATAAGTCATCTATTTTTTTCCTTTCTGTATTTTATGACTTAGAACACATAATCATTAATTGTTTTCCCTGAACTGCAGACAAGTGCATTTTTAATCTTCCTTTACTGAGCCTTGGAGACCACTGTCCCCTGTCCATTAAATTCAGCCAAAGGCATCTGAGATACTGATCAGCTTAGTGCTGGGGACTAGAACAGGCTCCAGACCCATCCAGTGGGTGTTCAGCACTAGTATCTTATCTCTTCCCCATTTACAGGAGCCAGCTTCTACTGCAGGTGCTTTTGTCCTCACGGTCTGGAGTCTGGTCTGGGGAATGGTTTAAGCTTCTCAGCTTTCTTTGCAAGATGTTGGGAGCTGTAGGATTGATATCTTAGGAGATGCCACACAGGGTGGGAGTGGACTAGGAACTGAACATGCCAGAGAGATTATGACTAACCCAGCCTCCCTTCTCCTACCCAGAAACTTACTGTGATACCACCTGGTAGTGGTGTCAGCTGGCTCTGCCCGAGAGTCAAAGCCTCTCACAATTAAGTTAGAAAAGGAGCATGATTATTTGACTTTTTATATCTCTTTTTTTTCCCTTTCATTTAAAGTTCTTCGTAAGAGAAATAAGACTAGCATTTCTTGAGCATCTCCTGAGAGCCAGGCACCATGCTAGGAGCCTTACATACTTAAAAAAAATTGTGGTAAAATATACATAATAAAATTTACCTTTACAACCATTTTTAAGTGTACAGTTTAGTGGCATTAAGTATATTCATGGTGTTGTGTAACCATCATCACCATCCATCTCTAGAACTTATTCATTATCCCAAACTGAAATTCTGTACCTATTACACACTAATTCCTATTCCTACTCTTGCACACTTATGATTGCTTCAGCAACCCAATAAAGTAGCTTATTTATATTATTTTTAAGGACACTGAGACTCAGAGAGGTAGGGCCATTTGTCCCAAATCTAGTATAATTTAGTCTGGGATTCAAACTCTGACTCCAGTGCCTGTGCTTTTTTTTTTAATATCATGCCGTAGACCAGCCCTAAGTCTCATCTTCCTACCATATAATCACATTATGCCTCTGTTTTCTTATCTGAAATGCTGTGTGAGGCAAAGCCACAGACAATGACAGGCTCTTCAAAAGGTGGCTGCAGTCACCAATCTACAAAATAATTTTCTCTTCATAGAGCATTGAAAGTATTGGGGGCTCAAGTAATATTTCTTCTGTGGTAGTTAGGTTTCCAGAGGTAGAGAGTATCTTGATACACAGAGGAAAACTGGGGTAACCTTTATCAATTTTCTTAGCTCAACATAGATCCCTGATACAAGTTGTTTTCCTTTAGTGAGGATGAACCAACTAATTATTAAAGATCACCGAAAGGTTTTTTTTAACCAAGTTTCTGTGGTTTCTGGGACAATAGCTATGCTGAAGGAGACAACTGTATTTTTTGTTTCTGCCACACCCACATGCTCGTAGGCAGTGAAAAATGAGAGGATATATACAGATTACACTGAGTGGCTTCTGTGCATGATGATAATACAGGTAAAGTGCTCTGGGATCCTTCATGAATGCATGGAGTACTTCTGATGGGAAATTTGCCAAAGATGAAAGAATTGAGTGGTCCCATGAGAGCAACTCGTGGAAGCTTTAGGATTTTCCCATGATAAACTAAACAATATTTGTTGGGACCTGACTAAACAATATTTTTTGGGACTTGACTTGATCTTGGATATGTGTTTACACACTCACCTCTTTTTTATCTTCTCTTTATCTTGCCCTGGATTAGTTCCCACCAGTCGATTTTGTTTTCAGGCCTCTTTCTACTCTTCATATGCATATGCTGTCTGTCTGTCTGTCTGTCTATCTATCTATCTATCTATCTATCTATCTATCTATCTATCTATCTGTCTGTCTATCTATCTATCATCCATCTAATCTTTCTAATCTATCTAATCTAATCTATCTGGAGCCAGCTTGAAGAAAGACCACCATAATTGTAGAATGACTACCAGATCACAAAGTGAGGGATGGTGAAAAATGGGACACTTAAATACATAATTTCTGCAACAAAGAAAAATTTCCCAGAAATAGCTTGGTGTCTGCCAAGAAAATCCTTAAGTTTTCAGTCTGTTCTGTTTTCTCTCAGAACCCCACCATCCCTTTTTAAAATTGGCCTATTTAAGAAAGGCAGAATCTCAAGCTTTGTGACCTGTTATTTCCCGGTACAGCAGCTTTACATAGAAACACTGATTGAGTCGTGGAGCACTGAGGACTACCTCTACCTCACTTCCTCCAGAATCTCCTAAAGCATCACAAAGCTTGATTAGTCCAGATACTGAAGTCTCCTGGGACTGAGTTAATTTTTACCTTGAAGTTTGCCAGAGAATAGTGGAAGAAGCCTAGATTAACCATTTTTTTAAATTAAAAAAATAATATATGTTTATAGATTAAAAACTACAGATATCCATAAAGGAAAGGTAAAATGAATTTCCCCCTAGTTAACCACTATTAACAATTCTAGACGTTTCCATGTGGAATACGTTACTAAGATCTTTTGTACAAATTATACTATATGGTTTTATTACACAGAATATCTTAGATATTTTTTGTGTGTCTGTAATATAGACTTAATTCTTCTTAATGAGATGCTTCATTTTGTCCAAAATATTTGTTAGATACCCTCTTTTCTTTCAGACCAGTGGTTCTCAAACTTTAGTGTACATGAAAATCACCTGGAGGACTTATTAAAATACAGTGTTGTGTCCCACCCCCAGACTTTCTGATTTAGTGCGTCTAGAGTAGCTAGAGACTGTGCTGGACCTTGGCTATTTTCCTTCTCTCTAATTTTGATTTTTTTCATTCTTTTTAGCAAATAGCCCTTGTAAATGAGTCCAACTGATTTCCACTTTGAAAAAAATGACATACATAATAATCTAGACTTAGAAAACAAATAAATTGAGATGAGGTCTCAAAGGAGTAGGGGAGAGGAAAAGGAGGTAGACTGAGCAGTCAGCTCAGGCTACCTAAGAGGACAGGATTCCTTTAAACCGTCACGTCCAACAGAGAAATAGCAAAGCCAAAAAGAAGGAAAGGGGTTCTGGTCAGGATTTAAGAGGACTCCAAGGCCCATGCCATGGTCCAGGCATGGGCTGAGTTCCAAAACCAGAGCACTAGCTAGAGACATCAAATCTCAGCCAGTAGGGTTGAGCCTGAGGGTAGGAATCAGAGCCAGTGATGATTGGTATTTAAGGCACAGGGCCAGATGAAGTTGCGTTCGTACATGTTGCTATGGTGAACCTCGTTTTAAAGGGTGCATACCTGCAGAAATCTAGAACTTTGTTTACAAGATCGAGTGTTTACACGGTCCAGGTTGCAAACATTTTTTTCAGATAAACTTTTTGGAAACATCTATTGCACAAAGCAGGATTTTTGTGTGTAGATTTCTTATATTTATGCTAGACTTTAGGGAAATCAAAAGAGATGGTTAATCTGTGTGTGTGCGTGTGTGTGTACCTGGATTTTTAGGAAATTTAAGTATTCTGAGTTCTTTACAGCTTTCCTTTGTGGTGACGAGGCAGTTCTTTCAAAGTTTACTCAGAGGAAGGTGAAGCTTGGAAAACACATCAGTTTCCTTCTCTTTTTTCCTCTGCTCAGCCTCTCAGAAAGCATTGGACCAAAAGCATAACAGAAGCTCATTCAAAGTAACCTGCTAACTTCTCTTTTTTTTAAAAAATGATTTTTTAAATTTAGTTTCAAGTATGCAGTACATTGTTTAGACATCTATATAGTTCATAAAACGATCCCCTCAACGCTCCCTCCTTCCCCTGGCCCTCCACCTAGCCATCATATTAATGCTGTCAACTATCAGCCACTAATTTGTACTTCT